GGGCGGATCCAATTGCGGTGCCTTTCCCAGGCTCCCGGTGGACCGGCCGCTGCCCCGTGGCAGGCGAGGGCTTTACGCAGAGGTCCGCTGTCACCCCACAGGCACGGGCATCATCTACTTTAGCGTCTTGGGGTGCCCTCCCCTCCCTCCTCCGGCCTACGAGCTTCCCCCTCTCCGCAGGTTAAAGCGGATGCCTTGTAGCAGGATGGCAGAGGCCGGCCCCATCTGCCAGCTTCGAGGGGCACGAGGGAGGGCGAAAACCTGCTGCTCCCCAGGCACTGAGGACAGGCAAGTCTGGGAGCACGAAACATCTGGGCACACCAGCCCCGGCTGGCAGGAGGGTGCAGGGGGTCTGCGAGGGCACCCCCCCCCCCTGCCTCGAGCCCCAGGCTCCTGCTGGGGAAAGTACTGGCTTTCTAGAGGAAGGGGACAACCCTCTAAAAGCCAGCAGAGTTTGTTTTACATATGGAAACAATCTGCATCCGAGAACAGTTCTGTTTATAGCAAGCAGTTTATAAATTTCACCGAACGCTTTGCACATCAAAAGCTCTGCTCATGTCACTCCCCGTTAAGTGAGCTTAGAGGGCATCCAAGCTGCTGGAGCGCGGTTCAGGAAAGACAGCTGAAAACAATTTCTCTCTCTTTTTTTTTTTTTTTCTTCTAGGGATAAAAACTTACAGAGAGGCTGAATGTTCTCCACCATTCAACCCAGGCACCTCAGCATCCAAATGCTGCTAAGTTTAACACATGAAGAAAGCACAGAGAGGAAAAGTAAAACCTAAGGGGAAGAGGTATTATTTACAGTACTTCACCTATGTAAACTTTTCAGTTCCCACATCACCCAAGCGGACTCATTTTTTTTGGCGGCCCCTTGCAAGCCAAACACCTCCATCTGACCAAAGCAGCCAGGCTGCCCCCTCTCGGAGCCCCGGGCCGTCCCGCGGCGCCCGGAGCAGCGCTCGCGGGGCCGCCAGCGCAGAGGACACTTACCCGCCGCCGGTGCGTCCCGCAGCCGAGAGCTCGCAGCGAGTGGCGCTCCGCGCTGGCGACTGAGCCGACTGTGGTTCACGCTTCCCCTCCCAGTATATAACCCGTCCAAATCAATGAATCAGCACGGGGGCAGCGTCGAGGTTACGGAAATCGCTGCAGCGGAGCTGTTTCCAACTCGTGTTTCCTCAGCAAACAGATCGGTCGTCTCCAAGACGGTGTTTTCAGTTCTTCCCTCGCGAACCCCAGCGCCTTGGTTTAAAGGAAAGCAGCCGGCGCCGGGACCGCACTGGGTGCAGACGGCTCCGGGGGAGCGGCTCGGCGCTGGGAGACCCGGTGGGCCCCGTGGGCACGATCCTGCCCTCCGCCGTGGCACCGCCG